CTCAGGCTCCATGGACTGTTTTTGGATTGCTAGCTATTGGGGGGATGTACAGATCTGTCCTCGCAGAGGAGGGAGAGCCTGTACCTGAATAAAATTTGGTCTTAAAGGTGCCACTGGACTGTTTTGGACCGGGAGGAGCTCTGCATCTTACCTGGCTGCTTCTTGCTCTGACTGAGGGCTGCCAGGAGGGGCTGGTACAGATCGAGAACTCTTCTCTCTAACAAGCAAGTTTTGTGTGGGGCTGTCTGGTGGGAACCGCATGCCGGCTCTTCCTGTTCCTTGGTGTAGTTTGGTATAGTTGTGGGGGGTTTTAAGCCCCCGGAGGGGATTTTTTATTTATTTTTTAACACTACAAATAACTACAACAGAAAATGAGGGGGGGGGGGATACTACATATACGGGAGAAAGTAAAGTACCCACTACTAACTAAAAACCCAAGAGAGGAGATCCTCCAATTAGCTTAGTTACATCAAGTCTTCTCATCGTTGTTACTTTTATAAACTGAGTCAAAACATTTAAAAACTTTTACCCTTAGAGTTTCATTTAACTGTCTAGTATAGTACCCCCAGTCATCCCCCAGAACCAAAGTTCTCAAAGGCACAAATCAGAGTCCTTCAGCCTTTACTTCTTCTTTTCCCTTCTCTTCCGCAGTTTGTAGGGACTTTTTGGGGCTGTAGTTTGGTATAGTGATTAAGTGCACGGACTCTAATCTGGGAGAACCAGGTTTGATTCCCTGCTCCTCCACTTGCAGCTGCTGGATGACCTTGGGCAAGCCACAGTTTCTGACAAGAGTTGTCCTTGAAAAAGAGCAGTTTCTGTCAGAGCTCTCTCAGCCCCACCCACCTCACAGGGTGTCTGTTGTGGGGGGGGGAGTTTGTAAGCCGCTCTGAGACACCTTTGGGTAGTGAAGGGCGGGGTACAAATCCAATCTCCTCCTCCTCCTCTTCTTCTTTCTTCCTTCTTTTTATTCTTCTGGCATGGAAGCGGCTTCCATTGCGTGATCCCTGCAGCTGCAGTCCTAACAGATGATCTTCTAGGGCAGAGGTGTCAAACTCATTTGTTACGAGGGCCAGGTCTGACATAAATGTCACTTTGTCGGGCCGGGCCATGCGTGCCATAAAATGTAATGCCAGGTACCAGAGATAGAAACTTATAAAGGACAGCAGCTGGTAAGCCCCGAGCAGGTGTATCCTCACTGCAAGTTCCAATGGGCTAGGTGTGGGGTGCAAAGGAAAACCCACATCGGCGGACGGGAGAGCCAGTGGTGAGGCACTGGGCAGACACTCCCATGCTCCTTGACTGCTGCACATGACTGTTGTCCTGCCATGCTGAAGCCCCAAGCGGAGTGGCTCCACCTATTCCCCCCGAGCAGTCTCCTCTTCCCTCCCTTGTACTAGTGGCTTGTGTGCCACAAGAGAGCACCAGACGGGCCAGTTCCGGCCCCTGGGCCTTACGTTTGACACCCCTGTTCTAGGGGATGACAGCCAGCAGGCTGCATGTTGTGATACGGATTTTGGAAAAGAAACGGGTGCTTCTTTCCTAGGGAAATTCCCAGGAGAAGGTGGGATCGTCGCCCCCGGGATGAGTTGCTACTACACCGTCCAGTTTATCCCCGATCATCTGGCAAATTATGAGGATTACATAATGGTCGAGACGCAGTCCCCGTACCCACTCCTGGTCCCCTTGGAGGCTAGAAGACCGCCTCCGATCTTAACCTGTAAGTAGGATGCCGTCAGTCGATGTGGCTGCTTTCTCCCTGTGATTTTGAAGATCTCTCTTTTATTTATTTATTTATTTAAATTTCTACTCCCGCCCTCCCCATGAATGGGCTCAGGGCGGCTAACAAATGGGGCACCCTGTGCCAGTACGTGAAACCAATTAAAACTGGATAAAACGGAATAAATAACCAAACATGACATGAAGTGCTCAATGCTGTTACTCTTAAATTTAAACAAGATGGTATTGAGTAGATGTTGCCTCCATCCCAGCACCACGGTACCGATCCGCCACACCGCTGAAGTCACAGGCCCGCTCTGGTCCCGGTTATCAGCCGGGTTCATTGGTGGTAGTGGCAGTGGAACTCCCCTGCCATGCAAATCTTTCTGACTCTATTAGATTACTTTTTAGAGAGACAATCAACAGAAGACTCTGTGTGAACGCAACTGGCGCGCCTCAGAATCTTCTGAATGTTTCTCTTATTTCAGACATTTGTACCTTCTCTTTTCCGTTATCGTTTCTCCCCTCCCCTTTCCACCATTTCTGCAATTTAATCTATATACTAATACTGAAGTCGCCCCCTGGTGTGCGGATAGCTAAATCCGCGCACCGGGGGGACCTGGAGGGGAGGGAGAGTTTTGTGCACACGTGGGGCGGTCCCCATATGTGCACAAAAATCAGAAACCCTGTCAAAAATATCGGGGGGATGTTTACAT